TATCCAAGTAACTGCGTTTTAATATTAAATATAAGTTTACCAGACGTCAGCGTAACTGATGGTACCGGCGAATGATTAGTCAAATTCCGTATTGTATTTCTTCTGATCGTTGGGTTCAAACTAATGTTTGATTACATGTTGAATGAGGAATATGTTATCTCTTGATTGGAATGCTTCATATTGAATATGGGGTCATTAGTAGAAAGGTTAAAGAGGGGAAAGAATTAAGCCGTGTTCTATAGAAATTGGAATGCTTCATATTGAATATGATTGTTAGTATTATAACTATCAATATTAATCGCTAAAATTAGCAATCATTGCATTATTTTTATTCTGTCCTCCTGCATTATCGCAAGTAATCTTTAAATATTTTTCGCCTTTATTAAATTTTTTTCCATTAAAAATTAGACCGAGTTTAGGCCTTTGCTAAATATTGTCTGATTATGTGTTCGCACACCATATTTGGAGGATCGGCAGGGGGACAAGAAAATTTTTTCTTTTCAAAGCGCGTTAAAGACACGCTCATTAGCGCATCTTTCTCACGACGTGCATATTTTCAAGGAAAGTATATGTTTATTACCAAGTGTTCGCCTTTTGGTGGGTTTGTTTTTATGTCTGAGCCACGCGCAACCCTACTGGCGTATGGCCATTATGTCCTGCGTTAGATGCTTGGCGCTGGTCTGGAGGATCGTCCTTTAGCATGCGTGTTGGAGGCCTTGATTCCTGCATGCTATCGTCCAGGTTGCGTTACGTATACCTACTGGCATATGGCCATTACGTCCTATGTCAGATGCTTGGAGGCAGTCTGGAGGATCGTCCTTTAGCATGCGTGTTGGAGGCCTTGATTCCTGCATGCTGTTTTCCAGTATACAGTTGGCTATCATTCTATCTAGGATTTGTAGCATTTTAGAAGTTCAGAAACTTATTTGTCTCTTTATAGATGTTTGCGGCAATTGTACACAGCTACCTCAACAGTGTGATATATATTGTACAAATTGGTCAATTATTTCAGTGTTGGAGCATATAGCATACCTTGTATGCTGATATGTTGGATGATGTAAAAGGCGATATCTATAATGTACTCCAGGACTACAAAACGTCAACCAGAATGCTAAGAAGAGGGTGGAAAAATTATTATTATTATTATCTACATATGATAAAAGTTTTATGACTGCTGTTGTGGTTCAAGGATAAATTGTGATGGAAAGCAGAAGAGGAGGGACACAAGATGGCGTTGAGAATGAAGACAGCCTCTGCTTGTACAGTTGAAGATTTAGGTGATCTCAGACTTGTGTGTGCAAATATGTCAACAATAGCTTTACTAATAATTATTTCAGGAGTTCCATGCCAACAAGATCCATGTAAATCAATTGAATAGCTACTGTTTTAAGTGAAAGACATTACACTGATAATCCAGATGTACAGTAAATGTAGTTAGTGAAATTATGGAAGTAACTCATTGTGACCAGGAGAATTGAGCTTGGTTTTGCAAGGTGTATCCTACTGAAGCAGCTTGTGGAAATGTAATTTTGAATGCTTATAGCTATTATCCTTATTATAAGCAAACAATGAAACTTTATCAAATAAGAAATAAAGCTAAGAGATATCTTTATTAACCTCATTAAATTAAATTCTGAAGAAAGTAAAGAATTATTTTGAAAGTGAGTAAGAGAAGGCAAAATAGAAGATGATTTAACTCTAAAAGGAATATTGGAAAAAGGATATGAATCATGAAATTCAATAAGCATAAGTTGTTATAATTATTATGATCTTAGAAACCTTTCTCTTGATGAGTTAGTTAATTATAATGGTTGTAATGAATTAACTGTTATAATAGAATGTTCACTTTGGTTTTGTTGCAGCATACCCCATTTATCTAAATATCTCCCCGAGTTGATGAGAATGCATTGATATTAAGAAAAATAGGGAAGATAAAAGAGTAAAAATATGACTTAGATAATTTGTGGCAACAGTTTTGAAACTTGTGCCATATGTAAAATGTACACTTGGTGTTTGCGTCGTTTAATTCGAGCATTAGATCTGCATCTAAACGTGAATTTGCTGATATGCAACGTTTGTTTGGTAGGGGGGCATGTATAGAATGTATGCTTTCCCAAACCTGAGGCGACTCGATGAAATGCTGAAATATGGATGAGAACTTGGTCCATCAAACAGGCCAATCAAATGACGCTACACACATTTTGTTAGAAAATTCTTAGCACTTGGTTTTCGCCATCCAACAACGTAACGATGTCTTTCGTGAAACAAGTTTCAAGTCTTGCCGAATTCAGAGAGGCACTGAACAAATCTCCTACAAAACTGGTTAGAAGTACTAGCGTTTTCCGAGTCAAACAATATACTTGCATACAAAATTAGTGATAACTGAGGCAATATTTCTTAGGTTGTAGTTGACTTTTTCGCTCACTGGTGTGGACCGTGTAAAGTCATTGCACCAAAGGTCGACAACCTGAGCAAGACATTCCGACATGTTACCTTTCTCAAGGTTCGAGAAATTTTTGATTTGACTCGATATTAACTATATTATAAATAATACGAGTATTTTTATAGGTTGACGTTGATGCATCAAAGGACATTTCAGAATCAGAAAAAGTAACGGCCATGTGAGTTTTTTTACATAACCATACTTATTTTACATTGCATCAATTAATTTTTGCGTCATTTCATTTTTTCCGCTCAAATTCAATCGTCAAGGCCAACCTTTAAACTCTACAAAGGTGGTCAGGAAATAGCTAAAATAGTAGGAGCCGATTATAATCAGTTGGAGGGTTTAACTAGGCAGCACGCTGGTAAACCCGAAGACAGTGGATCAAGCGTATTAACGTTTGGTAACCATGTATGTATGATTGCATTTTCATAACTTGCTTTCTGCTACTTTTGAAATGTGACTATTAACCGTTTTGCTCAATAGTCTGACATAAACGAGTTCATCATGCTCAATCAAGTAAACTGTCTGAATCAACAAGGACAAAACGTTAATAATATCTTTAAGAATGATGACTCGTATTTAGAGTCTGATGTTGACGAACAACTGATTATATCTGTTCAATTCGGTCAAACCGTGAAAATTCATTCACTAAAACTAGTAGCTGATGATATTGGTAAGTACGACGATACAACGAGTATGCATATATACAAGCAGACATCAATTGGGTATAACTGATTCTATAATTCGACAGCGCATGCACCAAAGACCATTAAGTTGTATGCGAATAGACTCAATATTGGATTCGACGAGACTAACAGAATTGAAGCAACGCAAGTTCTTACATTGAGCGACAAGGATTATGCAGATAATGGCTTGGTGCCCTTGAGATTCGTCAAGTTTCAGAGTGTCAATAATATTACGGTTAGTGCACTAGAAATGCAATTTCATGCATATTAACTCTGAAGGAGTTTAGTAACATTCTCTTCTCTGATATGACACGCAATCATAAAGCTGTTTGTACAAGATAATCTCGGGGATACCGAAACAAGCAAGATTAAACGAATACATTTTATTGGGTATGTCAGTTTAAATGATAACGTAATTATAACGTAGGCATACTAATTTATGCTTTCTATGTAAATGTGCTTACTATTATATTAGATCACCTGTTGAAACAACGAAAATGGAAAATTTGGCACAGATGGCAGAGGGTCGTGCAGTTTGAGAATGAGTACATGTCACAAGCAGTTGGTCGCTAATAACAATTTTTACGAGACAGACGTGGAAGGTTTAAACTGCAGGTCATTACCAACAGGAAAAAATAAATTATGAGTAAATCTACTGATGCTTCACACTAAATGTGGTTTTGCATGATAAAAGTAACACGATTGTTTATAGTTATTCTGGTTAGAAAATTTAAACACGTATGCTAGAAGTCGAGAGCACGTGGTATGCTTGACTTGCATCAACGCGCATATGAGATGGAAGCTAAAGAATAGATATGCATAAAAAGGCTGACATATTCAGCATGTTTAACCCACATAACAATTGATTTAGCAGGTGAAAGAAAAACTCAAAATGATGCTTCCTGTGAGGATCGAACTCACGACCTCGAGATTATGAGACTCGCGCGCTAACCAACTGCGCTAAGGAAGCTCTAAGTTAATCTAATGTCGTAAAAAAATATATTATTTAGTTAATAATGAACGGCCAAGACCCAAAACTACTTTTTTTTTTTTTTCAGACATAGAACACACATAATAATAATAATTATTACATTATTTTAAAGTGACAATAAATAGTCAACTGCCTGCATTGCTATATTTTGAACCTTATAAGACTATTTCACATTATTATGAAATATTTACTATAATTATAATGTTATTCTAATCTGTCAGTCTAATGGCACTTGGATTGACAGTAAAACTTCTCGCTAATGAATGTTTCTTTTAAATGTTTTCCTTTGGTTTATTAATAACACTGCTGTAAACGTGGCAGTGAGGGTTTTTTTCCTCACTGCCACTTCCTATCATACGATATTAACCAATGTCTAGACAAGACAATATTCTCGCCATAGGTCGAAGTTGCTTATGGCCGAGGCAATTCGTTTTCTAATATGTTCCTTAAAGCGAACGTACTCAGGGAACGAGTTAATGTTCTTATTATCGCTCATATGATAATGATTGACCTTTATGGCCGAGTAAGTCTTCTTATTTGCCTCTTTCTTATACGTACGTATGTGTTAATTGAGATGGTATATCGCCCATTGGACTAGAATTGTATTATGAACTATCGTGTTCCTTTTGATTCAAACCCACAAACACTTTATTGAATGATGCGTCTTTAGTACAAAAATCTCACCATCGTTAAGAAATCTTCCCAATACATTGGTCGTATTCGATGCAATTGCTAAGAGAAATGGCCGACATAAAAAAAGCGCAAGCGCGCTGAGAATGAAGTACATACTCTGTAGGTTTCTCTTGTATCCGAATTCAATAGACGGGAGAAAAAATTGCATGCTGCTCAGTCTATACACTTACGCTTGCCTTTTTACATCATGACAATTGCTGAGCGTTTGAAAGATGCGTTTGAGCATTATAGAAAATATACAAAACTGCATTTATTACCCTTATGTCGACCCGATGAGCTTTATTCGCAGTATGCACATATATCTAGGTTACCAAAGTTGTGAGTGTTGGAAACAAAACGATCGATGAAAGTAATGAAAATGAGATGCATTAAGAATTAAAAAATTGTTCTTAGAATTGTAAAACATGTTTTCGTTTACATATAATAATAAAGCACATCAGATAATCATTCTTTAGGCGAACGATCGGAATGTGGTTCCAAATCGGTATTTCCGTACGACAGGATCGCTCCGCGATAAGATGAGAAGCTGGAGATGTTGGTCAATATTTAGGTTCAACAATTACATTCGTTCATTCATAAGATATTATATTAACACGGACAATTAAAGCAAGATAAATAATTTGTGAAGACAACATTGATAATCTTAATGGAACTATCTATAGCAATGATATTTGTTCATGTCAGCCAATAATAAACTATAGCTATGTTATCTTATTAGTTGTCAAGATTAGAAAAATCTTTTTTCAGGATGGGGTCATTAGTAGAAAGGTTAAAGAGGGGAAAGAATTAAGCCGTGTTCTATAGAAATTGTATTAATATTGTCGTATGATCTTAATATGTGACATTATCTTTGCATGTGTGACGGTTTTATTGGCCTTCTATTAATGATGCCTGAATTCTCACAGTTATTATTGTGTCGAATTTTGTCGCGAGTAATAACGAACGAGTCTTCTAACTTGCACATCTATGCAGAGTTCATTTGTTTAAATAAGGTCTTACACAATTAAATAATAATGCCCTTGATGCCACAAATATTCTCTTATCGGGTACTCATTGTCGTATATTTTTTCCATATTGTTGACACTCCCCATTGGCCCCCCTACGCTTCATGCATTGACTAATTGAATCGGTATCTCGCTCTGTTTCAAACAGTTATCTCCAAAAGGATGTCGCATTTAATGCATTCAATGTATGTTCCATACAAACAAGGGGCTGGGTGGCAGTTTCCTTATAAACATTTCTCCACGGGAAATGGGAATTTTTTATAACTAATAATAACCCACGCAATTAATATATATCAAAACCTACACCCATCGCACAAGTAACGTCCACAGAAACAAACAATCAATCAAAAACACTGTGTGCACACAATAGCCATAATAAAGGAAGGGAAGACCCACTCTGACCCTATTACTCGTTATCTCTAAAATAAAAAGACATATTTTGCGGACAGGGCGTTCTTACCGTGCGCTTGTGAACTTTATGCATAGCTGTATTAACTGAACAAAATACCGTCTTATTTGTACTCGAGTGCTTTTGAGGACTGACGCTGATAGTAAACTCGACGTATATTCTGATACACTGATTTCTCCCGTTTACTATTTCTGTGCTGCAATATAATAAACTTGTCGTCTATTCTAGTCAGTACAAGTAGATTGTCTATATAACATCCCTCTCACTGACATTAGTAACGACACCCACTTGAGTAACAGAATCTTGAGCAACTACAACGTTAAAATTACATAATAACTTCTTCGAGCTTGCTTTGCCATGTCCATAGATCTGGCTTCATTACAAAAAGATCTGGAAACATCCAAACAGGAGTCTAATACGGTAAGCTTAACTGGCCATGGAGAGTATGAACAGAACTACACAGTGATGGCATACAGTCTACGAAATATTATGATCATAGACGTTGTGCCTTAATTATCTATGTGTATGTTATATGACGTGAGAGCTAATCGACAGAGACCGTTAGGCTATTAAGCCTGGCATAGATGATAACGAATATTTCACCGTATTCATAACGATTATATTCTTTGTCACATTCTCTACTATTATAGCTTCGCGAAGAACTCAACACTGCACACAATGAAAATACGACGTTGGCTAACGAAAACAATTATTTCCGGAAGAAAATTACCACACTTCAACAGCAATTAGATGACCAGCATAAAGATTACTCACGTCTTGAATCCGAACTCTATCAGCAGAATCAGGAAGTAGAAAGATTGAAGAAAGAGAACGTTGGATTTTTGAAGAATAAACGAGAGACTGAGAAAAAGTTGAGAGAGGAGGTAATTTATTGTTCGGAATACATTATTAAAGCATGACGAGTCGCATATACATTAAAAATTATTATCATCATGTATTCTGCGTTAATAGGCAATAGCATTCGAGAAAGATCGACTAGTTTGGCAGGAACGCGAAACGGACCGGCAAGAACGCGAAACAGAACTCCAAGAACAAGTGAAAGCGCTTCAGGCTACTGTCGGTGTTCTTGCTCAACAAAGTGAACAATTCCATAAGAAGGTTGGTCAAGATGCTAATGGTATGATTTCAATTGAATATGTACGTTATTTCTGTTGTATTTCATAAATATCTTTACACACTCATTGTTCGGGAAAACATATCTTTTACATTTAGGTGATGCTATCAACCCTTCTATACCTTCGACTGCAACGGAACTTGCCCAGTTTAATGCAAATCGCGATGCCAAGAAGGCGTTAGCAACTATTAAAGAGCGAGATCAACTCATCAAACAACTAAGAGATGACGTTCTCCACGCTAATCAAGAAGTGACAAAGAAAACCTCTGAAAACGAAAAAAATCAGGCAGACATCGAACAGATGAAAAATGAACTTGAACAAGTTAAAAACGTTAACCTATCACTCATGGAGGAGAATGAAGTATTCCAGAGTCTGTTGCATGAAAAGACTATCAAAGGGGAATTCATGCTCAACCCAATCATGCAGGTAGTGTATTTTAAATGATTTAACAAGTCTTGAGAAGAATTATAACGGGAGAGGAGGTAACACGCTCAATTCATTGTAGTATAACGATCATGATACAAGAAGCGAAAACGAAGAACCGGCCGCCAATGGAATCAAAGCTAACAACGACCTTGCCGCAGAGCTACATCGCGCTTCTGGTGGAAATGGATCGTTTGGTGAGGATGTGCAGAAAGAGAGTGACCGCAGTGTTCATATAGAGAGTGAGTCAAGGATTCAGAATAGTGGTTCGCATTTTGTTTTAACTAATTCTTAAGCTTACAAAATGATTTTACATTTGTCTAAACTGTTACAATAGAACTTGAAAGCAAAAACGCAGAACTTGAAGACAAAATTGCAAAAGCCGAAAAGTCCTACAAGGCATTGAAACTCTATATCGACAAGATCCTCATCCGCATAGTGGAAACACCTGGTTACGAACACATTCTCTCTAATGACGCCACACCATCTAATCCAGCCAGTCCGACAACAACTACGTTCGGCCATTCGCGAACATTCTCGTCCGGACCCGCGTTGGCAACTGCTGCCCCGGAAAACAAGAAACTCGAACGTCGCAAAACTTTAAGCGGCGCACTTACATCCAGTGAAATTCCATTCAAGATCAAGACGGGTGTTCACAAGGCTAATATGGATGAACAGGGTGATCAATTATCTCCCTTACCCAGTTCGCCTACAACTAGAGTTGCCAATTATAGTGAAGACGGCGGCTTTGTGAGACCGTTAGCAGATCCGCCCAAGAGAGGTAGGCGCGGCTCTGCTAGTTCACAGAAGAGATGGAGTTTACTTGGTAATTGGGTATTAGGAGGAACTAAAGCAACGGAGGAGAAGAAGAAAGAGGATCCAGCACTTCGACCAATAATTCTAGTTCAGGAAAAGGAGAGAAGGGCGTAGGTATTTGATCAAAGTAAAATAATCAAAGCTGTTGGGACGTGGGACCAATTCTTGCGACGATTTTTTCGTCTGTAAAGATGATACAAGTTGCCTCATATTTGATTTCTTTATAATTTTATGTACATTTTTTTCATATGCAATGAAAATAATTGAAAAAGCAAAATTTTTTTACTCATATTTTTGGTTTAATTTATTCAATGCACACAATAAAAATTCCGAGTAAATGTTTATCTATTGGTCACAAGTATGACAAACACAAGCAATAACTAAAGCTCGGAATCTATATACTCGTTATATACTCGTTCTCCGTTGTCATTAGTTAGTCGTTCGATTGTCTCTTCCCATAGTAACTTACCTTTCCCTATTGCTCTCTCAAAATACCGCATAAAAGTTCACGTGGTAACTGGTAGCACCAAAGCTGTTCATTCGGACATTCGCTATTACTATCTCAAACTGATATATAGCCCATTCGCGCTTTGGGGGCCCCTTATCTGTTCTCCTGCCTCGACGTTTTCTAGCGTCTTTTTTTTTCCACGATTGAGTCTAACAAGGTGTTCTCCAAAATCACAAAGTCGATTTTCTGTAGAAGCGAAATGGTAAAGTGTATAAGGCTGGCAAAAACCTTATTCAGGGGGAGAGGGGAAAAGAAACAAGATAGACGGACGGAAGGAAAATAAAGGGTTTACTCGATAAGTTTTGGCTTTTCCGAAAGCGATTACCCTAACTTTATGGGTTGTTACAAATTTTCTCGATATTGAATTTGTACAGAGCTCGCTGAGATCCTCTCAGAAGGAGAAGGTTAGGCAGTTTATTACATTCACTAGCGCTAGGTAAGTTCTTTGGGAAGGTACAGCAATGACGGGACGATTAAAGATCGGGGCAGGTTTTTGTTTGGCTAATAATAAAAACTACGGGATTTATAGTTAAATAGTAATCGTTGTCGTAAATGGGGGGTTTTCTGGCTTTGTTTGTTTGTTTGTTTTTTCACAAATGATCACTAAAATAATCTGATTCATTATAGTGAAAGAGTGGCTATCCGTAAACTCAAGGATTTCAACTGGAACGTAGAGGTAGCCATAGACTCCTTCTTTAATGATCAGCCAGTCGTTCAGAGAGGATATGCAGCTGCACCCGCGTCTTCAGGCGTCGATGTTTATAGGCTTAACCAGATATTCCAAAAATATAAAGGTATGAAGTATGTTGCAAATTGTGATTTTGTTTTTCTGGTCAATCCATACTTAGTTGCCCTCATGTTTCGTGCATAGACAAAGACGATGATGCTATTCTAGTCGATGGAATGCTTGAATACTGCAATGACTTGAAAGTTGCTCCCGAAGATGTTGCTATGCTAGTTATTGCTTGGCATTTGGAATCGGAGCAAATGTGTGAATTCAGGCGTCAAGGATTTGTTAATGGTTGGACCAAATTAAGGTGGGGCTACCACTTGCTCGTAATTTGTGGGAAAGATGTGTGTGTCCAACTATTTTGTTTTGACGTTATCATTGTTTAATGCATAGATGCGACTCTATTGAAAAAATGCGAGCTGCCATACCGCGTCTTCGAGATTCGATACAGGATGAATATACGCTAAAAGAGATTTATCAATTTACGTTTAAATTTGGATTGTCTGAGAATCAAAAGTCATTGAGTATGTGCTTGTAATTAGCATCATTTTCATTTGGTGAATTCAATGATTATAACCTATCATCGTCCATTCAGGTCTCGATGTTGCGATAGGATATTGGCAATTGTTATTGGGTAATCGGTGGCAGCATCTGGACATATGGATAGATTTCATAAAGGTATATATTATATGTGTCAACGAATTGAATATCTGGATTTCTTATTTTGGTTGAGTTTTATATACTAATTTGGTTTCCTCTTGGGGCAGGAGAGACATGGAAAGTCGATCTCTAAAGACACGTGGAACCTGTTACTTGATTTCATCAAACAAATCAGTCCTGACTTTTCCAATTACGATCCTGAAGGTAAAAATTGGTACTACCCGTCAGTTGTTTTTCTGTAAGTTGGATGCTGACGACCTCTCATACTTGTTCAAACAGGGGCTTGGCCGGTACTGATCGATGAGGTTTGTTCCCATGCATGCATTATTTCTCGACAGAATTCACCAAAGTTATTTTACGTCTTGCAAACGTTTTGAACATACGTTCTGGTTTCTAACATTGTCTCGTCTCATTTCCGGAAAATAACCGCATCTCATCGGCTATTGCTCACTTTCTGTGTATAGTTTGTAGACTACGCTAGAGAAGTGTTACATATATCGTGATCGAGGAGAAGACTTGCAAACTATAAACTCGAGATCCGAAACTCAATCAAATAGATGCTCTTGGAATTTTCGGTTGATTGGAAGTAATCTTTGGTTATGTAAATAGACTACTATCTTCTCCTAACTTAGAAGCTCGTGCCATTATTTAATTTCTCTTTGAATGAATGAATGAAAAAAAAAAAGAGGTTCTCTTAGATAATCAAAAATATATTGGTGATAAAGTAACCTATATGCTTTTTATAAAATTCCGTCGTCACTTGTTGACAAAAGTTATTTTTCAGCACACAGCAAGTAAAATAAATCTTGTACTTAGATGAAAGTCTGTCTATGCAACAGTCTAATTCAATGTTTTTCGTTGAGAATGTAGAATGCAAATTTTTTGGTCACGCAGACATTTCTTGCCCGTTTAATAATAGAATATTATGTCATTATCAGTGTTTGTCGGCATCTGGATCCACAAGAGAAATTAATTATTTGATAGTATCCGTTATTTTCCATGAACTGCCCCATAATTGCCCTAGATGGTCATTCAAGCAAACGAATAAAATCTTCATCGTTAGCAACACGTAACGTTCATCAATCTTGTTTGTGCCGAATGGACCAATAATGTTTTAATTGGGTCAAGTTTTGTCTTTTCCATTTTTACAACGACTTCCTTATCAAACTTGTGTTTGCCAAGTACAGAAGAATTGATTGTTTGTAGCACAATTATGATAAACACACGTGTTCTGTATTTTCAGTGAATTGAGTGTTCGTCATTTTACAATAGTTCGTCAAGATTAAGAGCCGTTAATAATTTTGTGAGAAAACGAGTAGCAAACACTAGTCTCGGTTAACAATTGGGATGTTGACAGTAAAAACTTTTAAATAATAATAATTGCATTTTAGATGTGAATTATTAGCAAAACCCCATGAATGCAACTTAGCACTCGGTCCTAATAGGTTGCATTTATGGAGGTTTTACTGTATGATTTTTCACTAATTCTAACTTTTCAACTCACTAATAGTAACATGTCTGCAGCATGTCAACCCATACTCTCAAATTATTTTTATCTAGCTTTATTGAAGCAGCTCCAATCATTAAATCAGTCAATTCTAAAAATTTGTTTGAAAGTATGTAATTTGTTTCAATTTTTGTTCCTTATAATAATATGACCATCATCTGGGATTTCATAAACTCTGAAACTGTCTTCTTCAGAAATTGACAGAATCATTTTAATTTTCATAGACTTTGATAGTAATAGATGAAAGCTTTCTGGCCTGATGTAATGTCTGGCTACAGTCTGTTATCTGTGTCAAGTTTGGTAATTTTTGATAATTAATGTCATGTGAGTGCATTTATGGAATTATTTCTTATATAGCTGTGAATACAAAATCTATTGCACTACTATACTGTTAGTGGGAGAGCGATTTATCTTTCGCGTAGGTGTGCCCTTACTACGATAGTTGTGCAATTAAGACCTCAAGTGAACTATTTTAATTATGTGCGTAAGTTTCTCACTCTCTATCTGAGTTTCAAACACTCGTGAATCTTGACCAAATCAATGCTATTCTGTTACAGCTTAAGTGAGCTACTTATATACCTTGGGAAATTATTGTGGGTTAATTCATCACATTTTAAAAATCCAGAACGATTACGAAGTAATTATTATGCTATCTTCGAGCGTCGCAACGCTCTTTTGATTATTTCTAGAAGAACAATCAAATATGGATTAATTATAGCTCACAGATTTTCCGCAACGAATCGCTATTATTACTAAATTAATTCTTTTTGTGAAACTGAACTAAAATTAGGAAGATTTTACCTATTATCTGATTCATCAGATCGTAATAGTAATAGTAATATACCGGTATGATCCCTCCAACTCGGTACAATCGGTTTACTCTCCATAATCCAAGTGGCTTATTCCCTTTTATCGGCTTTTGCTTGTGGTTTAATAGAATTATGAGTTTGTGTTGTGCCCGTTCTAGGATTTGACCCGTTTCGGGATTGTCACTTTAGAATAATCTCTTGCACCAATAAATGGGTCCTAACAGTAACAATACTAATACTACTACATTAACCTGCAGAATATTAATATAGAGAGTGTGCATTTAGCAATAAGTCCCAAGGTTGGGAATACAAAATAAGTTGTATCTAAGGAGAGAGTGCATTTAGGGAGAGCATTTGGAGAGACTAGACTGAAGTATAATCCTATATTAATATATATTTATTTTAGCCCTTTTACTTTATAGATTTTGCAATGTATTTTTTTGTTCAATTGCAACTTTATACTTAAATTATAAAACAAGCTTGCAAACTACTCAAAGCAATTATTATAAACATAATATGGGGCAGACTGCAACAAAACCAGACAAAGTGAACATTTGCTTATATGAGCTAAAAATTGCTAGTGGGGCTGTAGTGACTGATTTATTTGTTTATTTACTTGTTTATTTATTTTTAATATTTAGTGGCACAGCTGTGGCCCATGGATAAATTTTGGTTGTATTTCAATCCTGTATTAATTTGGTATCAAATGTAAACTGGTTGAGATAAATGTTTTACTGGTAGTTATGATTATAAAGTAATATATTTCATATAGGACTATTTATATATAAAATATTACTATGAAACTAATTTACAGTACTGGACAAAAGTAATGGCAGTAGGTATGTGACTTCGTTTTTTGTCGATAGCATCTCCATATTGCGTTTTAAGCGTTAGTTTAAATTGAGCAGGAGACAATAATCTAAAATACAAACAATAAAACACAGAGTTCTAAACTTCTTCGCAATTATTTTTAATTTTTAAATGGCACCTACACCTATTAAAGTAACCTGTGAACTTGTTAAGTCTTTCTGGAAGCAAAACATCCATAATGGTAATAAATTTCTGGGATTCTTTTACGTTTCTGTAAACGTTATGTTTCCTTAATTCGAAAAAAATGGCAAAATCCCAAGCATTTATCAAGCAGTCGCCCACAAGAATTATCTCCTTAACAACTTGGAACTATTAAACATGATCATTTTACGACATCCAATGAATTGAAAACTATGCTGGAAACAAAATACCCAGAGCTAGATGTTAATGAGCGTATTATTCGCCGAACATTAATAGACTTGTTTTAGTTCTACCCGAAACTTACATCTCATAATGTTCAGGGTAACTTGGAATCTCGTCTTTCGCGACGTGTTCTTCCTTGACCTTCTTACTGCCCAGATCTTAATCCAATTGAGAATGTCTGGGCCATTTTGAAGCATAATATTGAGAAACACGTTAAAAAATGGTAGTGGAAAAAAAAGAAAATTTCTTAATCCGGTTTTTTAGATTTAGTTGGGGAGAAATGTATAACCTTGAAAAAAATGTCATAGTTAACAGCTTTAGTAGTATGAAAAACCGAGTTGAAGCATGTATTGAAGCTGAAGGCGGTCATATCAAATATTAAGTAGTTAATAAAATTGTAGCCATAATGTTTGGCTTTCATTAAAAAATTTTTATACGTATTTGTTTTTCAAATTGAGCTCATTACTGATCGCCATTACTTTTGTCCAGTATTGTATCATGAGCATATGTAATCAATTAATTTTTGGACCATATCTAGCTACACAATAGTAATAGCCTTTCAAGAGTATTTTTATATAAATAAACATCAATTCGTAGACCCATGACCTGACATTTTTTGTTATGAGAATTTTAATAATAGCGTCGTAGTTAAATTGGTCAAATTTATTAATCCGAAAATAAACGGGCGATGAACTGCTCAAATAAAAGACAAGTTACAAGATAAACGTACGCGCATCAAACCAAACAAAACGCGGGAACGTGAACGGTGCTTGTTAAAATACGTACAGCGTAACATGAGATAGTTTACAATTGAACCTAGCTGTTGCATCATTTGATGCGTATATATTTTTGAACATTCGTTACCTAGTTTTACAATAATCTACAAGCTAGATACGGATGTATTGCACAGAGTAATTTATTTAATTCCGTAAAGTTTTTACATAAAATAAAAAAACCAACTTATGGACCACTTGCTTCATCAGTTGTCTAAATAAAATATCAATACAGCGTGTCATGATAAGCAGAATAATAAATTAGTAAAAATCCCAACTTTGGTGCATATGGAAAATATTGCACACTTTTATTTATTTAAAGCAGCAATCACAGCTCGAATTTGATACGTAGAGTGTCTGAAAAGTTTTGACTACGTACAGTCCCCGTCTCAAAAGTTCACCGACCACTCCCTTACATTTGCAATATGTTGGCATAACGAGCAATGTAATCACTGTGAAATAATACTGGATTTAGCGCACATTATAGTAATACATACACAA